TATTTTGATTGTTAATTTGAATTTAATTAATTAATTTTATTTGTTATAACCATCACTCCATTAGACCCTGGATGTCTGATGTCTGACAGCTGAATGTAGAAACTGATTCTGTTGGATAGTTAGATTTTCCATGAACATACATGTCTCTAGAATTATCTGGTAATAAATAGGGTAATGCCCTATTTATTTATGCCAATTTTGCTCACGTCTAATTTCCTAAACTGATGTACAAACTCTGATACAAACTCAGGCTTTTTATGAAAAGCAGCTCAAGTTTATGTAGTTTTTTTAAATTTAAAGTTCAGTAAGAAAAAGCCCAATAAATACCGTATTAAGTTCTGAATTTCAATTATCAACTAAGTTATCTAAGATATGAAACAAAGTTCTGAATTCTGTGTGGGTGTATAGAAGAAATATTAATTGTGTATATGTAAGAAACAAGGAAGAGCCAGTATGGTAGGGGTTAAGGCACTACAGTATATAACATATGACAAGAACCATGTGGTAAGGCAAGTTGTGTGGATGGTTCTCCTGCCATGAACTCTTATTGGAAGGTTAAGCAATGATATCATAGGGAAGCCTTATGGAATCAGCTCTATCCATGGGGTTTTATTATAACACCACTGTGTAGAACTTAAAGATTAAAGGAAGCAGTAATCATGCCGCCAACACTATAGGTGAGGGCATCCAAGAACTCTAGCCAACATTAAGGTCAGTTTGATCAATTTAAAATCAAAATCATTATGGTGGTCTGTTAAGGTATGTGTTGTGATCAGTATACAGAAAAGGATTCTGTAAGCTAAAAGTGGGAGGAAGAGGGAAACTAAGGATTGAGCAAGTGGAGCCAAAATGATCTAGGCATTACATTAGCAGCCTGGCCAAACCAGTTCCTGCCTGAGATCAACAAAGACCAAACAAAGAAGAAAACAAAAGGACAAGATTTGAAAGGTTCCACCACTTTTTTTTATGATGGTGATAATGATTCAGTTAACAGCATCTGTCAAACAATATTGCATTATCTTCCTTGTAAAACTGACTGAACTGCTAACCTGTATTAATTTTGGCATGGTTGCTGTATTTTGGAAACAATATATTTATTCTCAATAAATTTGTGATACTATAACTATTGTGTGGGACAGGGAAAGTTTTGCAAATCTCATGGCAGAAGTCATGGGCAAAGCAATTTATAATGAAAAATAAATCACTATGAAGAATAGAAAAATACCTCTAGAGAAAACTCCTGCCTTTACAGGTACTTAGAATTCTGAAGATGTACAACATATTTCACTATAAACTAATGCCATCCAAGTGTTAAGTTCCTGTTAAACGTTTTGTGTGTTTGGCTTGCATAAACCCACTTACATAGTGAGAATTATGGACACAATACATGTGATCACTCTAAAGATAAATGTTGCAAATCACTTCTATAAATATGGGTTGAGTAGTCCTATTCTCCACCTTGTACAAGCACAACACAATTTAAAAAATGTCATGAGTGTTTAGGATAAATACTGCTATCCTCTGATAATAGGATAGGATAGGATAGGATAGGATAGGATAGGATAGGACAGGACAGGACAGGACAGGACAGGACAGGACAGGACAGAATAATAGAATTTTTACTGGCCAAATGTGGTTGGGCACACAAGGAATTTGTAAGGAAGTAATGATTAGAAAGCAAATATGGATTGCTATGCAACATCAAAGAAGAAAATATTATGGAAAGCAAACAAGAAACAGGAGGAGGAACTGAGAATTATCACAGTGGCACTCTGAATACTTATTTCTAAATAATTCTATTAAGATCAAATTCTTTGAATTCATTTCTGTCTTAGCTATACTAAGTTGAACTTCACAACATTTCAGTTAACTTGTTCACTGATTTCAGTGTTGAAATACAATGTATGTAATTTCTGATCCAATTTTCTCTGTCAGAATAAGTGAGCTAAGAGGATAACAGATTAAATTTCTATTCACTGCTTTGCATTTTTGTGAGGCAATTAGAAAAAAACCCATCATCTTGTACTAATAATATTTCATTTGAACAAAAATATATTAAACAGGCTTTATGCATGTGCTCATGTAGTAATCTGAAGAGCTTAGTGAAATTTTCTACTATAAATCACTGCTAAAGAATTTTATAAAGATGGTATTATTCAATTAATCGTAGTATTTATATATATGTTAGTAAAATGGATGGGTTTTCCCATAATATTCTGAATTTTACCCATTCTCACTTCAGCATAGTCTAGTATAAAATGTGACAATTCACATATCTTCAGAACTTACTGTTTTAATTGTAATTTCTTCAGAGGTTACTGTTTTAAGTAATTTTGGATGAAAAATATGACCTACCATAATATTGCCTTTTAATTTTATTCATTTCAGAGTCATTTTGACAGATTTATAATGAATAATGAATTTCAACCTATAATAGGTGTTATACTTCAGAAGAAGCATGTGTATATATGAATATTTTACTGGACACAATCAGAGAAATGGTAAATATCTTAGAAGGTGGGAGAATGATCTTTAAAATATTTTCACACATAAAGCAAGGCATTCTTCAGTTTCTTTGTAATGCAAAATATAAAGCCTACATTACCTGCAACATTCATTCACATTGCAAAATGTGTCTCCTTCACCTTCCCTTCTGCATTAACATGGTAAGAGGCTATTCAACAGACTGCAAAAATCCCTCAGTGGTGATTTAAATTTTATAGATGAAAATCAGCATTAAGTCTGTTAAAGTACAATTTATTAATGTTTGATTTATCCTTTTAGTGTTATTGTAAAGCAATTCCAGATAGCATAACATCAAATACAGATTTCTAGACTAGGAATTTATATAGGTTTATGATTTGATTTGATTTAAAAGATAAAGCACTAATATTTTGTTTATGGATGAACACATGTGACTATATTAATTTAAAACAAGGTGATTGAGATGAACCAAATTTGTTACACAGAACACCTATAGCACAAGGAAGTAATAATTTATTTTTAGACAGAAAACCACAACCAGAAATAAAGGGAGATGTTGCACTTTTTTTGCTTTTGTGCATCCATTTTTAGTTAACTCTTGACAACCCAGCTGATACACAATTAAGCGAATGATTAGATGTAGCATCTTTGATAGTATCTTAAGATCTGATTTCATGGAATACAAGGTGCAGCAAAACTGTTTACTTTTTCTTTACAAAGTGACTTCTTTGGAAATTGTCTTCTTATAGGCCGTTCTCCTAGTCTGATGGTGAACTAACTTTATACTGTTGATTTTGTAAGCATGGGATATTGGATATGCAAACTTTATAGTAAAATATGCAAAAAGGTCCTCATGATGGGTCTCTATTAGATCCCAAACCAGAGGCTAGAAGAAGGGGAAGGGCAGAGGTCTGGGATAACAAAGCATTGTGCAAGTGACCTCACAATTACTTCAACTCTTGTTTTGGGACTCCAATCAGAAAAGTTCTTCTTGCCTCTTTCACAACCTTATGGGTGTAAGGATGCAACATACTTTTCAGGGATCCCACCCAAATCCAGAAAATAGATCTTAATATGTGGTTGGACTGCAAGTAAAGTCAACTGAAACAATCTAGTGTTGAACATATATAAATATCCACAATGCCTAACAGTATATTTTTTGGATGAAAGTCAGTTAGTAGATTAATTTACTGGGAGGAAGATTCTTTAAAAAACATTAGAAGGGGGGGAACCTCTCATAATAATAAAGAAGCACCACCTTGATTGAGAAAAATAGGGCTAGTATCAGATTTCTGCAGTAAACATAGTATAAATGTTAAGAGAAATACCTTTAACATCTTATTTCCTTATTTTGTACAAATCAAAGTTGGAAAACTAAATAAGATACTAAACAAGATTTGATATGAAAATTTAAGTTAATTGTTAATACAGTATGTAAAGAACACATATGTACATATTAAACAGCTGGTTGCAGACATAACTATAGTATAAACATAACTATAAACAAAACCACTGTTAATATATTCTAATTTTCCCACCTACATAATTTTCCTCTGTTATTGAATGATAAATTACAGAGCTATATATCTTAATAACAAAACTTTAAGAGTTGCGGTAATCTGAAATACCCATTTCTCTTTCTCACCTGATAGGTGCAGAATTATCATTTGATTGCCATAAATAAATAAATATCTGAAAATCCAAAGTCTATCAAATCACTTTCCAAAGTTTTTAAATGCAACTTTCTGTGGTTCCTATATGACCATTTTTTAAAATAAGTTTTCTGACTATCGTAATTTTTCTGATTCAGAGTCTGGTCTACACTGTCTGTGTTTTTGTTATGAAACTAGGTTTGTCTGTGAAAGATAGAATTATTTTCTTTGCTACTGAATACAAACTGGGCTCATTGTTAAATAATAAAGAATCTGAACTTCTCAAACAACAGCCAGAGTCATCATTAGAGCGTAAAACTTTTTACAGAAGTATCATGTGTACAGCATTGTTCTCTTTGTGACAATATCATTAGCCAAGGAAGAAGCACCAAAGCAACCATGATGATTTTGAAAGCAAATTGGGACATCCAACCCATCAGGACTATTTTGCCTTCGTGAACTGTTGACAGCTTTCAAGACAATATTTTTCTTTCTTTTTTTTAAGAAATTGGATTGAAATAAGTACGGTTTCAGATTAATATCAGAGTTTTAATTCTCCTGATTAGAAGCACAGATTCATTATAAATTAAAAACATAAATGCTAAGTAGGGTAGGGTTTTATACAAGAAATAGCATTAAATACAAATATATTCTGCAAACAAAACATTCAGGCACCTTCACAATGTCAGCTGAAAGATGTGTGTCTATGCTAAAGTCAAGGATATGATTCTATTATGGAGCTGGAAAGTTTTTCAGTCAGTGCAGAAGGTGAGATAATCCCTGGCTGCACAAAGAAAAATGATAAGCCATATATGATTACAGCAGACATTTTTGTTTGATCTTATCAGAAAAAGTCACACTTACCAAGCAAATGCACATTATGCAAGGGTTGTCTGTGATAAATGGGATCTGTAGAATTTCTCCCTCATTCTCACATTTTGCAACAGAACCTATATGGAAAATTTTAAACATTAATATTACTTCCTTACTTTGCCTGTCCAGCAGCTATCTGCACTTTGCCAAAAAAACAGCTGTGCACAAGACTGCAACAAATGCTGCAGTCGTATAAATATGTAAATAGGCCCTACTGAAATTAGCAAGAGTTGCTTTTCATTTGTTATCTTATTCCTTTACTTACATCTAAAGTATAGGATTAAGTTACAGCACTCTTAATGTTGTTATTTCAAAATGAACAAAGTATCTGCTCTAAAAATTTAGAGACACCAAAAGCATAGCAGAGATTGTTATTTTTCCATAACCAACAAACACCTTTTAAATTCAATGACGATAAATATGTGTCTAATGAGATAAGTTTTTATTCCCACAAATGTTTTATTAGCCCTGTATTTTAAAGCTCAAACATTCTAAATATAATTTAGGAAAACTGTAGATCAGATATTTCTATGGACATGAACAAATGAGCATCTATTGTACCTAATTTGGAATAGATCAAGAACATGATATACTAATCTTTCTCTCTGCCAATATACTTCAGATGTAAGGAACAAGGCTCTTTAAATGCTTTGTAAATTAATTTGATTGGCAAGATATATACTGTACACATAGACATTCCCAGATTTTTTTAAAAAAATACCAACTGCTATTTTGGGAAATGCAATGCTGTACTTTTCACATTGTCTAGAACTGGAATGGTCTTGCACCAAGTATCAGGCAAATATATACTTCAGGGCAGTGTGCCTCTGTGTGTGTGTGTGTGTGTGTGTGCGCGCGCGTGCATCTTAAATCCATCACCTAGTTGAAAAGAATGCTACTTAACATAGCCTGCAGTTTTTCTGACTTGCAATGCATAATCTTTAAATTCATACAACAATAGTTTTCAGGACGCTAGGAAAGCAGTACATTCCTCCCAATGCAATTTTAGTCAAGTAGCCTCTGATGATCATGATACACAGTAGCTGTCTTCACAAGGGAGAACACTCTGAACTCCAAGCACATGTGGCAGAGCTTTCACGTGGTGCTTGGCACCAAAAGCACATTTGACATTTTAAAAAAGACTGCCTCCAAATCGGGTTGGCTGGCTTCGATCATACCTGTTTAATAACCGGGTTTCCAAATATCAAGAGAGAACCTTAGTAAATACTGTGTGTCCTTTTTGGAACATTAATTTATTCACAGCAGAGAACCGCTACCAATCATAAACCGCTGTGGCTACACATCCTCGTCTCCATGAGTGCGTACATCCTCGTTGCCCCTCGGACTGAAAATCAATGCCACGCATAATTTGTTTACGAACAACTTTTGTAGGCTTGGATGGAAAGCGCGTGCTGCTCCCCGCTTTCCCCCAGTATCCCAGCTGTTGTCCTTACCTGTCAGAAAGGAAGACGCCAGAGTCACGGGGAGTCCAAGGTAGTGCAGCCACAGCCAGCCGGCAAAGACTAGCCCTGGAGAGCTGAGCAAGGGAGCCACCGCCCAGGAGCTGCACAAGAGACAGAGCATCGTCCCCAGAGACACCCGCTCGGGTTTTTGCGCGACCGAGAGCCCGGGAGAACGTGAGGGATTGTAGGAGCGCGGCGGCGGCGAGCCGGCAGGGAAGTTGCTGCTGGGGATGTAGAGAAGGGGGGGAGACAGAGCGGGAGGAGGTAGTGATGGGAGGGTTTCTCGCGCCGCTGCTCCTGCCTCCGTCTTCGGGCCGAGCTTTGAACCGCTCTCCTGCCCACCGACCCCTCCTGAGCGGGATATGGGTGGGCGGGGAGGGGGGGAAGAGACGCCAGGCTGGGCGGGGCCGGCCGCCTGCCTGCCTGCCTGCCTGCCTGCCGCGGGAGGGACCCCTGCCTAGTGCGCTGACAGGAGCTGCCCGCTGCTACCGCCGCCGACTCTGTTCTGACCCGACTGTAGCCAGCGCCTCCCGGATCCGGCGCCCTCAGTCTCCTGCCCAGACATTGGTGAGCCGTGAGACGACCATCTCTTTGAGGGAGAGAGCAGGAGAACGGGAAAAGGCGCCGGCAGTTGGGGCTGTTACCAATTGTTGTCTTGTCTGGGGAAAGAGCCAAAACTCGCAGCTCAAGGTTCGCCCGGCTGTCCTAGCCGCGTATTTTGGCTTTTTGTTTTTTTTTGGGGGGGGGGGTATGGGAACCGTCCAGATCTTAATAAATTCGGGCGGAGAAGTGTTGAATGAAAAATTCGGGAAGCTGCAGAAAGGAATTTTTTTGCCTGCCAAAAAACTGTCTCGTTCTCATTACTGTATCATTTTCAAATTTCACGCGACCAAGGTGCGCTCTTTATAAGCAAAAGGGGTGGCAAGGCGGGAAATTTGCAAAAGAAGCTTTCACAGAGTTGCGACGAGTTCCAATCTGTGTACCTTTTGTTTGTTTAGATGAAGAAAAACGGGGGGAAGGAGATAATTAATGGCATATAATTGAATACACAAAACTTGGTTAGGGGGATTATAAATGTTTAATACCCACATCCATAAAACTACAGATGGTGAGTAGCGTTTTTCATATTGGAAAAATGAGTTATTATAAAATGTCTATTAAAATGCAAACTCTATGTGACAAAGATAATCACAACATAGAAAATATGTTGTTTGTTTTCAAGTCAGCACATGTATGCAAATACATGCAGATTTAATCAGTCAAATGAAATTCATTGTCCAACTAAAATTTCCTGATAAGATCATTGGCCTAGTCATAGGCTGAAGTATCTATATCCTGGCACCAGTGGAAAAACTATTATGTTAATGTACATTGTTTTGTTTTACCCTTAACATCCTAACCACCCTAAGAATTTATACTGAAGTGTAGAGTATAATTATACAGAAGATAAAAGTTCTGGCATAGATTACTGTTTCCATAATCTTTCTTCTCCATGTTTCTCTGATGTTTTAGATCTTACATGCCATTTTACAGAAGGTTTAAAAAGTCACACAATAGTGCAGCAATCAGAAATGCAGCTGAGTGTGCATTACATAGTAATCCTCAGGAAATATTCAGTTCCTGAGCCACTTTACCCAACTGTTCGGTAAAGTCATTCATCCACTCTTATCATCATCATAAGCACATATTATAATGTCACATGCTACCAGGTTGGGAACAGGTCACTATATATTTTCTGTTCATTTATTTGTGGTTTGGTTTAAGAACAAATATGATTTCAAGGTGGCTTCCAATACTATAATTCTATGATCAACCTTAAAAACTTATTAGAAAGTATAGAGGAAAAAAATGAATAGTAATTTTACAGAAAAATATACTAAATATACTATTTTTTAAAATGTACAAAACACAGTGATTTCAAAGAAAAACTATTAATTACGTAAGGCTGGATTTTTCAAATTTTTCTACAATTCTGTGAATGTATAAATGAAATTGAGCAACATTTTGCAATCTCCTTTGATGCATATGAAGACTAATCATTCAGTAATAAGATTATAGTAAACTATTTTGTTGCTGATCTACCTTGGTATATGTCATTGAATTGTTGTATAAAATCATCTTGAAGCCTGTAAAAAAATTAACAGTGAAGTAATATGTGGTTTTCTGTTTCTATGTCCTTTAGCCTACATTGGTGCTTTGCTCCTGGAATTTTATGTTTACCCTCCAATGGGCCAGAGAGCAATGTGTTTACTCAGATTATGGGAAAATCCCCAGAGTCTATAATAAATCATCTTCATCAGATAATTTGCAGCTACAATCTCTCAATGGGATGTGTGGGGGGAGGGGAAGAGAGCACTCAGTTCCTTTTGATGGTCAAAATCCAGCACTGCCTTGTTGGATCCCATAATCTTCTTACATATATTGTTATACCTTTTGCTGAAGTTTCCTACTTTTTTTGCATGTATCAATTTGAGTTCAATTTTCTCAGGATGAAACAAACCTGTCTGGAAGATAATTGTGGGTTGAATTTTAAAAACAAATTTAAATAAAAATATCAAACAATAAATAAAACCTGTGCAAAGTAGTATAGTGTATACTACAAAGATATTCCAGACTCCAACTGCATTACAATAGTACATGTGCAGAATTGTAAGAAACATGGAAATGATCTGCAAAGGATTTTGACTGCAGTTTAAGTCTTCTGTCAATCAAATAAATAAATAGAGATGTGTTAATCATACATAATGTTTTAGGTCTTGAAAATCTTAAAGATGTCCTATGTAAAGTAGCTTTTCCTGATATAGTGAAACTTAAGATAGTTCTTGAGTGCTTAAGGACATTATTCATAATGTTGTTTATTCTGCTCAGCCATTTGGCAGTTGGAAGATAATGTTTATGAATCTTGTAATCAGATATGTGCTATGTTTGTCCTATCTACACCTACACATGTTGATAAAACTTACGAGTTACTTTTATTTCATTATAGTTACTAGTTTGACCTCCTTACAATAAACTTCAAAGTCCTAAGGCTCATACCAGAATGTGAGATAGATAAAATGGTAGGCATGTTGTTATTTATATAATGTTATTATATTATAGTATAATATAGCAGTTGGCTTCTCTGAACATTCTGAAAAGTGAAATTCTTGCTTAGATTTCATCGTTCTGTTCACATATATGAATATAAATGCTAGAATACCCTCTTGTTCTACTCTTTTCTTAGTGAGGATTCAGGTTTAAACTTGGCTTGTAGAATAACAAGATTATTCTATACAGGCCAATGTAGCAGCTTTAAGTATAATTGGTAAGCATATGGTTTAATGGTCATATTAAGCAGGTTAATTGGACACTAGTTGTCTAAATTCATTATTTCATCCCTTTCTGCAGATTGGGTTTGTTGCAGAACAATCCTGGAATACCATTCCTATTAATGAAGTACTAAGTATGAAAATAGTGATTTGCCCATACTCATGTCTTGGGAATCAAGAAGTTTTCTGTTTATATTCACAGATACTTACATACTTAAATTTGCACAGATATAATCGGATATTCCTACTTACATTTTCTCTCATTCATTTTCAGTACTGGGAGAATAGAACTTCATTAAGGACTGG